TGCAATTATTAATATTTTATTGGTGGCGGGTAAAAGAATATGTCTATGTCACTTGGCAATGGCACTTGGTGTTGGTCTTGTTCTTGGTCTTGGACTTGGCCGACTTGGTTGACTCTCGTGCATGCCCATTGGCGTCAAAATTGTGCGATATTCGAGCAGTTAGTATATAAATTAGAATGCTAATCGATAGCCATGGATACGCCCAGAAAAGCAATAGACAATAAACCTAGGGGTACAATAGAATGCTGGCAATTCCGGTTAATAAACTTGATTTAAAACCAGAAGTGAGCTAGGAGCATGGCAAAGACACAGTCAGAGGCAAATAAATTGCTACTAAGTACGACATGGGACAGCACAATAAAATCGAATCAAATTGAATCGAATCGGAGTCGCAATCGCCATCGCAACATAAAGTGTGTAACAAATGGGTCGCCGGTGGAATCAAGTGTTGGACTATGTGACAAATTGTCAAACATTCTCGAAACAAAGGCAAAATCACACGCGACGAGGCAGAAAAAAGCCCGATTGCAATTCATTAACAATTGACGGCGACCGCAGCGAGTTGAGGGACGGGCAGGCTCAAAGCCAAGCCAAGGGAGAGGCCACTCGGCGTATGCGCTATTTTTTTATTTTTTTATTTTATTTTTTCAGGTTTGCAGCCAGGCAGACTGCCAAATAATAGTCAAGCAAAAGTAAAGCAAAGTTAAGCAAGTGGCCGCGACCATAAAGTTGTTTATATTTCCATGGAATTTCTTAAGAGTTTATTGCACTTCTCGCATACCCTGTTGCCATTAAAAATGTCTAAGCCAGGTTGTCATAAGGTTTTGTAACAGTTGCACAAATAACTCTAATATAAATTTATGTTCTTCGACAACATAAGTCGCAGAGCCCAGCCTTGTGCAGCTTAAGCTTATTTGGTATGTGTACTTATAGATTCTATATAGCCTACATTTATTTCACTTTTTTTGTTGAGAGTGAAAGAATTGCCAACTTTTTAATAAAAATACAGAGCATCTTTTAGATTAGAATTACAATCCTCTTATTTTAGAGATTTCTGCTGATGTAGACTTTATATAGGGCATTTGCTAGACTAACACTCCATAATTAAGCATTCGCACTTGTTTTATCATCATAATTATTGTCATATAGTTTGCCATTGCAGTTGAAACGAAATATAAATAGTGCAACAGGTTTTTTTGCCTATCATTTGCTACTGTTGTTGGCAACGGCTGCAAACAATTTGTTAATTTTGCTTAGCGGCGTTAATTGTTTTGGCCAAAGCTCAGGCGAAGCATTTTTGCTGCTGCTGCTGCTGCTGCTGCTGCTATCTAGTTGGTATTACGGAGTATGTTTGGCTCGTTGCCGACTGCACCGCAATTAAGCTTTTAATAATAATTTGTATTAAAATAGTTGAACGAGTTGAGTTTGGCAATGGGCTGCCGTTTTGCAATTTGGCATAGAATGTGCCGCAAATAAATTACAGAAATTGTTAATAAATTCGTTTAATCGTTGCCACTTTTCAAATATAAATATGGAGAAAATGTAAAAGTACCCAAGAAGTAGGTTAAAATAAACGGATTTCTATTTTTATGCATGCAAGACTTTTCCTGAAAAGCTGCTTGGCTCAGAGGTCGAAGCGTCTGACTTACCAGCAGTAGGTCGCCGGTTCAAATTCAACAAAAATGTTCACTTTTTATGTTTGCTTCTTCTTTTCATAAAGAAAAGGGCAATACAATTGCCTTAAAGTCAAATCAAATGTGCAAGAAACTCATTCGAAAACTACATATGACGCATAATTAAAAAGGAAGATAGAAAATCTGAAAAAAAAAACTTAGCTATAAGTCGATACAATTTTCAATTAAAAGCAACTAAATTCATTTGGCAATGTACCATGAATAAAATGCAAGCTAGACAAAAGAAATATTGACTTACAAAACTTGAGCCCTAGATAAAAGCTCCATAAATAGACAGAAACACACACACAACACACACACACACACACAGGCAGAGGCCAATACTCAATTACATGAAGCCGTTAATTATGACAAACAAGTTGGTAATAGATTGGGGCGTCAAAATAACAGCTGCATCTAGCTGAGGCAAATTACTAAATTATAGTTGCACGTCCCACAATTTGACAAGCCCTGCGTGAGAGCTCATTTGTCCATAAAGTACATTCAAAAATAACGGCCGGACATTGCGGCAATCTATGAGAAACCGTGCGATAAACATCTGCTCAATCAAAATTGATCTACACGCCTGTCAATCAAACAGGAGACAAAGGCGTCAAAGAGAAAAAGAAAACAAAAAGCATTTTCAATCGATTTCGATGGCTAATGCACAAAGGCTAACTGTAAGGCACAGCAGCAGCAACACACACATACACACACACACACACACACACACACACACACACACACACACACACACACACACACACACACACACACACACACACACACACACACACACACTTTCATCGGTGACCTTGAAGCTAACCACTGGCTATTTATTTAGTTTTTTTTTCTTCGGTTTTTTGAATGCCTTTTTTTCTGCACCTTTTTGGCCGACATATTTTCAGAGCAGTTGCAGTCTCTTTGGCTCTGGCTTTGGCTTGAGCTCTGGCTTAGGCTTTGGCTTTGGCTTTGGCTTGGGCCGTGCAGATTTCTAAACACAATTGAAGACAAATCCACTTTATAGCCGTCAAAAAATGTACGAGAGCAACAAAAACAAACAGCGTTGAGCAAGGCAGCAAAAATTAAAACTTGGCAAGAAAAAAAACAAACTGCGAGTACAAGCAGCAAAAAACTTAAAGCCAAAAAAATGCTAAGCATGAAAACGCGTTTGCGCATAAAAAAATTGTATAAGAAAAACGTTTTGGCCAATTTCAGTGATTTTGTGTTTTTTTTTTTGTTTTTATGTATTAACCGTTACTTTTTTTTACCCGCTGAGCTTACCAATGCACCCACCACATTTGTTGTTGTTCTCGCTGTTGTTGTTGTTGTTGTTGTTTTAGCTGGATTTTAATCCCGTGTTGTAGTTGTTGGCGTGGTTTGTTGTTGTAGTCGCTATTGAATTTGATTATTTGTATTTGATTGTTTGCTTTCTATATTGCGAGCCGTGTCTTGTTGTTCTTGTTGTTGTTGTTGCTATTGGTATTGTTGTTGTTGTTGTTGTTATTCAATGCATTTGTTGCTAAGCCGTCTGCCAAATTGGAGCAATATTGGCGCGCGCTATAAGTGTACGAATATTTACGACGATTTGTTTATGGCTTTTAAAAAATGTGTTCGTTTTAATTTTAAATTAATTCCTTTTGCTTTTTACCAGTTTTGGGTTTACAGTTCGTTGTTATTTATTTATACTGTTTATGTTTTTATTTTTATTTTTTTTTATCTTAGCCGCACTCACACACTCTGAAAACTATATATTTAACTGACTTTGTCGAAATGCTTGCATTTAATGCAATTTGTTTGATGATTTGTCGCGTTGCTGTTTGGGGCCAACGTTGCGTATACAAAATATTTCTAGATAACTTTTGGTACGGTCCTTAAATATGTTTTCAGCTGTGCTCGGGGCTGGCAAATGCTTAAGAAAAACTTCTTGTCTTAAGGCCAGTTGCAGTCGCAGTGCCTGGAAAATGACTTTCACGTGACAAACGAGCAGCGGCAACAACAAATTATGTTCGAGAATCGAATTTGAAGTGTATTTTTGTGCAGGTTGTGCCGTGCGTCCGTTTGGCTACAGCGTCCACAATTAACTGAATTCCCACAGCGATCAGAAAACTGATAAGTGCTTGCTGCTGGCTAGCGCCCAAGAAGGCTGGCAAAAGCTCAGTAAGCCAGAGACTGAGGCACAGCCAGAGACACAGCCAGTCGCAGCCGCCAAGTGCCAAGGCAACAACAGCAGCAGCAACAACAACAACAACAACAACAACAACAAGCAGCAGCAGCAGCGCACAAGAAAGGCAAAAACACAAGTACAAACACATACAAGCACACGTGCATGTACCCACACACACACATACGTACATTCACAGGCTGGCAGGCGGCGCACAGTGAGGCAGGTTCACAAGAATTGGTGCAAATTTGTAAGGCATTATCAAAACTAATTTAGTTAAATGATGGCATATTAGTTTATACAGTTAAAGCTTTACTCACGGTCAGCGTCCCTCGGGGAATTTCACAATCTCCCTTAGGAGAGCATTTACTGTTTTTAGCACAATTTATTTTTTCCTTATTAATACAAAAACAGAATCAGTATAACTTATAAGTATAATTCAATCCTCTTCATAATACTGACTGAAGACCGTCATTCAGCTTCGATGAAATCTATTTTAAATAAGAATTCCATCAATTTTAAATAAGTAAATATTAAGCTACCACGAAGAACACCTTAATATAAACTACACGCCAATATATATTTTCGAACCAAACAATTTCAACAATAAACCACAGTCCAACATGCTGATTAGCTTAGATTTGCTGGTGTTGAACACGCACAACACAACCACAATAGCAACAGCTTTTACGGATCAACATCAAAGCAGCCCACAAGCTTCGGCTCAGAAAGAACGGACAGTTCGTTCCACTGTCAAAGAGTCGGCTTCTCGTGAGCTTCGTGCTCGACCAACGGTCATCGGGGCGAGACTTTCAATGTTCGTGAGCTGTTGTTGATAGCAACTGCATCTACGAGCGCATAAAGCTAAAACAAGCTTACACCGATATTAGCTCACTTAACATAAAACTGTTAAATTAACTTTGCATTGCGTGAAGTTGGTGGCGAACGCAGAGTTGAGAAGCGTTAAGTTAGCTGCGAAAGCAAACAGATAGCTTATCGACCACCGCCACATTATCTAACGAGAATATAAGTTTAAAAATTCGAATAATAATTTGGACCTTTTTTGATTTTATGATATGCAGCTTATTAAGCTAAAAATCACTCTCAAATTTATTATCAATATTTATTATCAAGCCATATACGCATTTACAATATTTACAAGCAATATTAAACGTGTTATTATCAAAATAAATTGCAACATTTTGCTAATAATTGGATATTAATGATTTATGTTTAATCTTATTGGCTAGCTAGCCGTATTTTGTTGGGTTTTTAAATGATTTAACGTTCCAAATGCACAATATTTAAATATTAGTTAGCTTATCACAAAATAAGAAAGGAATTGCTGTACATTAAAAACTGGCTAGTGCTGAATTTCTTGCTTCAAAACCTCCAATTATCAAATTTCCCGCGACGTGTTTGCTGTCTGTTTAGAAAAATAAATATTTAGCCATTGATTAGAAGGTTTATTGTTATATGCATGGTCACTACAACTACATATCTACAGATATATGTTAGAAGTGTCTAAGATTGCAATGTTTCGCTTTGGATATGAAATTTTTAATTGACTTGATGATGTGATGGCAATTACTAAAAAACAAAAAACAGAGATTGAAACATTTAAATTTAATTATTTATTTGGATTACTTAATGTTTAGGCATCTTCATCGAACTTTATTATTTATTTATATGTGTTTGTATATCTTTCTTTTAGTATTTATAGTACATGTTTCATAACTTTAATACATCATAAAAATAATCATAATCATATGAACAAAACAAACTGTAATTGGGGATATGCTTATGCTAAAGCGCAGCTCGTTTTAAAAAATCACACAATGCCCACAAAGTTTTCAGAATATTGTAAAAATACTTATCAAAAAATAGATGTAGATATACATATATATATACTCGTATCGGAACTGAAACAGTTACTGCATGCAATTTATACCAAATTTTGGAGTTGTAAAAAAAAATGGCAAAATTATCGAAAAATAACATAATTATACAGTTTTACATATGCATATATAGTATATAGAGGATATACGATTAAAAGGCAGCTCGCTAAAAACTGGCTGGGATTGAACTTCAATTTCGGCTGATAAGTACACGTTGCGTTTTATGCGCTTCAGTGTTGGGATTGTCTCGGATACAGTTTGACAAGCATTGGAATGTAAAAACGATAATTAAATGTTCCATTTAGATTTCTATTTGGAATGGAAAAACAAAACATAGATTAAAGCTAGCTAAAAATGGATTTTAACTACAGAAATCTCTAAAGCAAACGCACACAGCTAAGCGGGGCCAACAAAAACAACAATCAGGGTGCAGGCACGACAATGAGGGCAGATCTTGGTTTGAATTCCGATTTTTGGAACTCCAAACTGCTTCAAACTTGCGTCACGCACTGCGCATATTTATCCAGTTCGCCGCGCAGCACCTTCACCCGCTCCGTCTCCTCGCGCAGCATACGCACCAGCTCCTCAATGGTCCGCTGCTGCTTCAACACGATCGCCTCCAACTTATCCACACGACCCTCCAACTGTTGCACCCGCGGCAAAGACTCTGCCGCAACCTGATGATGATTGTTGAGCAGCGTTGTCGCCGGACTCTCATTGACGCTGACATTGTTGCTCCTCTCCGGCTGCGTGCTGCTGCTGGCACTGGAGGTTTTCACCAGCGGCGAAACGCTGCGATTGCGTATCGATAAACTGTTGGGGCGTGCCGCGCGTGACTCCTCATCGCTGCTGGCGGCCGGAGCTGCTATTGGCGCTGCTGTGGCTGACGACTTTGTCGCAGACATGCTCTTGGACATGACGGCATCGTGGCTGTTGTTGCTGCTGGTCAAAATGCTTGTGCTGTTGCTGCTGCTGCTGTTGGCTGCCTCCACCTTCTGGCTGCTGCTGCTGGTGCTGCTCTCCACGAACATGGACTGCTGCATGATGCTGGAGGAAGTCACCGCACTCGATTGCACTTTCGTTGCAGTCGCACTGCTGCTGGATATAGAGTTGCTGCTGCTGCTGATTGCGCTGGTGGTCACCACGCTGGTTGTGGCTGTCGCCTGCTCGGCGGCAAACAGCTTTGAAGTGCGCTCGGCCACGGAGATGGCACCGCCGCGTGGCTCAACATTGGGCGAGGTCTTTTTGCGTGTCACCTGTGACGCTTTCAGCTCCTCCATCCAGGGCGCCTTTTTCTTCTCCCATTCACGTGGCTTTGGCTTGGCCAACTGCGGCTCCTCGCCGGTCGAATTGTCGTCGGATGAGCCCGTCGCCGCCTGCTTGCCAGCAGGGCCACCATCTTCACTTAGCTCGCTGGCACTGCTGGCCATGCCGCTGCCATTGACATACACCGAATTGTTGTTGCTCTCGCCCAGCACATTTATGGCCGCCGAGGGCGGGCGACGTTTGGGCGCCTTGACGCGACCGGCGCGCATATCTTGCAGTATGGAGCCGCGCTCGACACGATCAAAGTCCGCATCCTCAACGGCTATGGTAGCGGCACGTCTCATGACCACATTGCCAGCCGCGCCCGACTCGGGCAGCTGTCCGCCTGCTAATTTACTGCCGGCCAAGCCATCGGAGACGTCGTGCGACACGGCGCTAGTTAGTTTGCTCTCCGCGCTCTTCTTCTTCATGCCGGCGCCCAAAATGTTGCCTGGAAATGCCGTTGAAAACAGTCTCAATTAATTGGATGATACTTTTTATGGAATCAAGCAAATGAAATAAATCAAAAAGAATGCAACTTTATTTAAATTAAACAGTTTCGGGCTCGAACTGGTTCGACTTAAACTCGTTGGGCAGCTTTGCTTGTATTAATTCTTTTAAATCTACGACTTCTCCCAAGACTTCTGCTACGTATTTTACTTCTTGTACGACTTACTTTTACTAATTTTGCTCTCAATGATTATTGCTTTTTTACCCTTTTAAGTCCTTCTAAGTCTTCTTCTACGACTTCTATTTCGAAAGTTATATTACATTCAACGACTTCAACTCGTATTCTTTTTTCTTTCCAAAGCTTCCACGACTTCTTCTATACTCAATGGTTTACTTCTTTCTTTGTCTTCTTAGTACTTCCACTAATCATTTGGCTTTGTCTACTTCTACTACAACTGCTTCTACGACATAAACTTCTAATTCTATATCGTTAACTACTTCTTCAGCTACTTCTACTCCACTTTTCTTATCACTTATTTCATACTCTACGGCTTCTGCTTACAATATTTAGTTTACAAATTGCATTAAGACTTCCTTTTTTATTCCTTTCTACTTTAAGTACAATACCTACGACATCTAGAATTTTTACTACCTATACTGAGTCTATCCCTTCCCATTGTCTGTGCTTCTCGCGGTCCTTACTATGGTATATAATTTATTCAACATGCTTGAATTCTTGAACTCGAATATTTATCGAGAACTCCCAACTGAAGCCTTGCATTTACCGCACTTTTTGCCGTAGCGATTCCTCTTTGAGTTATTTCATTTCTATCGAATTCACAACCTACCTGAGACACTGCCCGTGGGCGTCTTCTTGAGCGGCACACTGGGCTTTTTGCCCACCACAGGGGGTGTGGGTGACTTGATCTTCTCATCCATATTGTCCAGGCTCTTGCGCAGCTCCGCGTACGCAGAAGCTGAAGTGTTGTTGCTGCTGCTGCTGTTGCTTGTGGATGTTGTTGTTGTTGTTATGATCGTGTTGCCCTGCTGCTTGCCACCGCCGGGCAGCTTGCTCAGATCGAGGTTCTTATTCTCCAGCGACTTGCGCTGGGCGGCCACAGTGCCAATGGGCAGGCCCGTTTCGCTGAGTATATCATTTAGCGAATCGCGCGATCCGAAGCTCTCCTTGCGTCCCGAACCAGACGAATTGCTGCTGCTGCCCGTCTTTTTGATGTATACCTTCGATGTGGTTGAAGCGCTGCTCTGCTGATGCTGCTGATGCTGCTGTTGCTGCTGCGTCACCGTCGTGGTGGCTGTGCTGCTGCTGCTGCTGCTGTTGGAGTTCGTTGTGGTCATGTGGCTCGTGTTGCTTATCTTGCGCTGTGATTGCTGCGTGCTGGCGACTGCTGCTGGCTCGTTAATGGGCGCGACTGCAAAAGGGCAGAAAAGAGTGAAGATCATTTTAGACAATGAAGTTTCTGTTCTCATCATCGCTGAATGTGGGCTGCATTTTTGGCCACCCAACCACTACAATCAGCGCCACTTCAAGACGCGTCCAGTCCAGACGAGTTCACTTGAGCTGTGTTTATTATTAAAGATGAGCACGTCGATACGAGCTTCGGTGTGACTAACGCTCAGAATGGCAACAGCCAAACGACTACCGCAACAGCTGAGCGACAATGCAAACCAAACAGCCAAACGGGTTTCGCTGCTCAACTGTTGCCAAATGTCAATAAATTAACGCGAATGTCAAACAAAGCGCTAGCGTAGGAGCGCATGCAAACGCAAATTCACTCAACATACTACAAATGATCAGCTAGAGATGGGCGCGTGACACGCACACATTGAATCACATAGGATAAGAAGTACATGATTTTTGAAAAGATTAAATTTCTAGACTTTGTGTCCTTACTTTTGAAACGGTTTTAAGCTTGGGGAACTGTCTCAGCAACAATATTTTATCTAATATTTTGTTTTGTAAAAAAAATGTTTTCCTGCTAACTAATCTTACGGCTTTAAAAAAAAATAAAAATGTTAATAACAGTCTAAAAAATATGTAACAAAAATTTGTCTTCATGTTTTAAGATGGGTTTCTTTTAAATAGTTGTGACCTATTCTTTATACTTTTTCTTTTTTTCTCGAATATATTTTATCTGTTTTGCCAAGAATCGGCCAGCAACTGATGCTATAACATGACAAGTATGTTCTTATGACTACAAATTCTTTTTAATGATTAATTTAAGTTAATTTATTTTCCAAACAAAAGTAAGCCCTATTGCAGCTACAACAACAACAACAAAAATAATTGAATTAGTTGTTTCTTTACTTTTGCCCTTTCACTCTGGAAATGAAATATTAACTAGCTCGACTATTGCCGCTTTATCCCACTGGCTGTGGCAATAACTGGTTTCCACTACAACGTCTTGTGTATTCTCTCGTGCGTGTCACGACACGCGCACATCTCTACTACAGAGCGACAAATAACAAACAGGCAAACGCGAGTCGCATACATAAATAAACGGCAATAAATGTTGATGATGGCAACAGAAATCAAAGCAAGCGCTGATTGAGTAACGCTTAAATGTGTAAAGGTCAAGCAAAACAAAACAAAACAATAGCAACAGCAACAACAATAACAAATGGAGGCAACAAAAAGGTAACCATAGAATAGACAGCTTGGCGCAGAGCCGTTGATAATTGTAAATGGCAAAGACGAATGCGCCAACGACTTTCACTGTGCTACCAAATGACAAACAGACACAAGCAACAACAACACCAAACAACAGCAGCAGCAGCAGCAAAAAGTTGTGCGCGAATCGGAATTTAATATTTGTGATTTTTTTTACTTATATTTTATTTTTAAGTATTAAGTAATTGAGTGTTGTCATTGTGTTAGTGTTGATTTCGTTGTTGTTGTTGCCAGCGGCAAAACGAAGAGCGCGCACTCACACATACACACGCACCACACACAAACACATAAGCAAAACGAAAGACTTAGGCAACAAACTTAGCTGCCTGCTTTGATTTAATGATGACTGCGTTTCATTTCAACTTTTTACAGGCTAATCATCAATCTCACACAAACACACACACACGCACACACACACACACACACGTGTATATATAATTATATGCTTTAATTTTCAAAGCGACAACTCGCAAGCCGCACATTTGCCAATTAGTTAAACTCAGTGGTTTTAGGCCATGTGGCAAATGCAATTGCAGAAAGTAGCAAAACCCGCAAGAACGGTAATTGTAGCACACGCACCAGCTAAGCGAAAGAAAAGCAAGAACAACAACAGCCAGCCAAGAAAAAGCTGCGCAAAATAAAAAAAACACACAAACAAAACAAAACGAAGAAAAAACTTGCCGCACCAAAAAGAAATATAATTCAATAACGTAAATGGTCAAGAAATCAAAACGTACTGAGCCAAAAAGGTAAACAAAAATGCTGGCAAAGGTACAACAAGCGCAGCCAGAGAGAGAGAGAGAGAGAGAGAGAGAGAGAGAGAGAGAGAGAGAGAGAGAGAGAGAGAGAGAGAGAGAGAGAGAGAGAGAGAGAGAGAGAGAGAGAGAGAGAGAGAGAGAGAGAGAGAGAGAGAGCGTTCCAATGCGAGAGAGCAAGGGAGCGAGTGCCGCTCTCTGGCAACAATGTTGATAAGACGAAGCTAAAACAATAAGGCAGCGGACGGAGGACAAAGGGCGGGGAGCGGGCAGCGGGCAGCGGCTGGCCTGTTGCTGCCAACAAGTGAAGCGCGCGTTTTGTTGTGGGGCTCGTCTCTGATAATCGCCGCTAATGTGCGCCCATAATGAAGTTCATAACAGGCAATGCTTATGATCATTATGATATCCAATGATAATGAGCTAAGAGAGTCAACCAGGCGAGGCATGTGAAAAGATCAAAAGAGAGAGAGAGGGAGAGACAAAGAGCACGACACCAATTTGGAACAAAAGCCGCAACAAAAACAATAAGCATAGCAGAAAAAACCAGTTACAGCAACTGATGTTTTAATATTGTGCTGCCTGAGTTGTTGCTGTTGTTGCTGTTGTTGTTGTTGTTGTTGTTGTAGTTGTTGCCGCTTTTGTGGTTGTTGCTGTTGTTGCTGGCGAAGGTGGTTTTGCGTTCTTGTTGTTTTTGCCTTTGGAACTGCGACGTTGACAAAAGCTAATGGCAAAGCAAAAACAAAAAATAAAAAATTTTGATTTATATACGAGCATCGCAAGTAGACGCAACGAATGCTGAATACTCTACAATTAAGTGGATAATATATGTTTGCTTTATAAAGTCGAATTCTTGTAGATAAAAGCTTAGCAAGAGATTATTTTAATAACAAATCAACGTGAAACTGAGGCGAATTCAGAATTAAAACCCTTGCAGCATTTATGCGTGGCAAATATTTAATGAAGGCAAATATATGTTAGTTTACTAAGCCAGTAAATATTATTAATATTATTTAAGTTTTTTTTTTTTTTGCAAATACTTATTACAGTTCTTTCCAATTTTCAACTTCGATCAATGAGACAATCATCAAATATTTATCTCTCAATTAATTGTTTAACTTTTGTATTTTAAGTAAGTAGAAAAGTTTAGTATAGAAAAACATTAACTGTAAAAGTCAAAAGAATATATGTATGAGTACATAAGATATGAAAAACTGATGAAGGGTACAAATGAAAAGCCGTTTCAAAAAGGTTGCAAGTTGCTCAACGTACTCGAAATACCCTGAAAAAATGTGCAGGCTAAGCAAAGCTATCAAGTAATCAGTATAAGTAGCTTGGTATAATAAAAATGTTATTATTTAAAGGGCAACCGCAAAGTATGCAACATGGATCGGGTTAAACATATATTTAAATATTTATAAACAAAATGCCAAACACCCAGCTAATTAGGCAACTAAGTTAAGCAACGTTCGCGCGTTTATAACAGCGCCAGAAACGCGCTTAAAACGCCAAGTCTACAAAATGCTTAACAGACAAAAAAAATGTTAAGCAAATAAAAATAAGATAAAAAGTAACAATAAGAGAAGGAAAAAAAAAACAAGTTAAGCCATGCAAATTGACAACTAAAAGCGAAAACAAACACGACAAACCGCAATCGAAATGGCAAAGGAAAATGACGCCAAACAGCTTTGGCTGAGATTTTCCGAGACTTTGATTTTCTGCCAGGCGTAGACGGGGCTTCATGTTTTAGAGAGCATTGCCGGCGCCAAAGCCAAAGAAAGCCAGATAAAGCTAGATAAATAATAACAATAATGAAAATGGAAAATAAATCATAGAAATTATGTGCATGGCCAAAAGAGCCAAGCAATTTTCCATTTCACATCTAAAACGCCTCGGGCCGGAGAAAGGAAAATGAAAACTAAAAACTGAAAACTAAAAACTGGCCAAAAACGAAAAGAAAAACTCTTGAGGCTGCGCCGCCAACACTGGAAAAACTCGTTTACATACAAATCGTCGTGATAAAGCTGGCCATACGAGCGCCCAAGAACTCGAAAGAGCCGCCGCGTTGCGGTCCCGGAGCCGCAGTCGTTGCCGCTGCCGCACCGCCGCGTGCTCGTGCCCGGGGACGTGGAGGGGGCACAGGAGCTGCCGGAACGTCGGTGCAGTTGGTGTAAGTGTGTGTGTGTGTGTTTGGAGTGGTGGAGTGGAGTGGTATCGTGTAGCAGAGTGTAGTTGTTGCCGTTGTTGTCGTTGCAATGAAGTATTTTTTTTATTACACACGAAAAAGATAGAAAAGGAGTAGAAGAAAAAGAAGAAGAAAAGTGTAGAGGAAAATTACACAGAGACAGCGACATCAAGTCATATATATACATATACGTATAAACACGATAAAAAGAAAAGAAATATACAAAAAAAAACAAACGTATAAAATCTTGAATTACTCGTAGAGCAAGAAAATAGACATAAGAGCGATAGTGAAACGTAAACAAAATGCTAATAAATGTCGTTCAACAAAATGCAAGTAATAATAAACATAAGAAATATATATATATATAATTCGTTAACTTGATGTTGTATGCAGCGATTCGTTTAATGTGTAAGAAATGACTCGCGTCGTGAATTGAATGTCTGTGCATTTGTGAAGTGCATCTGAAGTGATGTGAAGTGTTGTGTGATTATTCGAGTGGGGCAAAGAAATGTCCGAATTTGGGCTGCAGAGTTTTTAAGAGGAAGAAGCGGAAGCACTAGATCGACAGATAAGTGCATAGACATCATGTCATTTCTATATGTATGCACAATCTAAAGACTTACAAACTATAAACCCTAGGCAAAGGTGCATATGCCTTATCAATAGAAGCAGCAAAGTTGATAAGGCTGCGATTTTGCGCTCTATTATAACTACATATATGTGTATATATAACTAAATCAGCACTACATTTATTGTATTTGTAAAGTCCGAGAAGTTTCCTACTTTAGGTGTCTAAAGTATTATGATAAACATTTGAAAACGAAAAGGTCGCCAAATCAGCATTATATAATTTTAAAAAATATATAAATATAGGCAAAAAAAATCTAGGAAAACCCCCTACTCTAAACGATAATAATTTATTATAAAGTTATATTTTAATATCCCGCTTAACATAACATGTGGACAATTGTAAGCTCTTCATAAGCCTTGACACATTAAAATAAGATATAGAACCAATGACAAATTGTTATCAGACATTGATAAAGAGGCCTATGCATATGTAGGTATATGCAACAATTACTTTTCGTAATTAAACAAGGTTTATCGAGCAATTTGTATACAATTAAAGATACTTTTTATGCTAGTTTACAAGTAATTTTCATATCTGATTATTTAGATAGTCCTGCACTATTAACTATTTGATATTTAAATGATTTTAAATGAATAATTTTAAAGAAATTGTAATTAACAGCCCTTTTTAATAAGTCGAGTAACTTTATAGCTAGAACCATTTTAACAGAAAACAATAAAAGTTTTGCTTCATTTAAGTGGTTCAATATAATTCTTGGTAGACTTGGTCACACACAATCTTATCAATATGATAAAGAAGCTTCCGAGCACGATTGGTGTTTAAATTTGACACTCGACACTCTACGCATAAACTTGACAAGTGTTTTTCTTTTTTAAATTTTTTAATTAATTCAATTAGCGAGGCGAAACAGTTATTGTCTTTAGATAAGGCGGGTTGCGGGCTGCGGGTCGATGTCACATTGCAGCGCAGAGGCTGGAAACACGTCAATCGACTGGCCGTTGCGGGCCTGAATATACAATATGAATGCGTTCGGGAGGGGAAGGTGGGATTGCATCCAATTAGACGCGAAACACGAAGATGCGACGATGCAGTTGATAGCTAATGACGGCAAATGATGCGCGATGCAGTTTACAGACCAAATCAAAACACATGGAGAAATTCAAATGAGGCTAGGCATGATTATTCTTGTTGTTGGTTTTGTTATTGCTGCACTCACCTTCGGAGGGTGGCAAGAGCTTGACAAAATTATCCGGAAACACACCCACTTTGCCATGCAGCTCGCCCTTCCACCAGCCCTTGTCCGGCAGCTCCATGCTGATGACACTGATAATGTCATCCACCTTCAACTCCAGCTCATCCTCATTCTGCGGCGCATAGGGAAACTCTACGCGACAAAAGTCACGCTGCGGTTTCGGTGGTAACGTGGGCGCTGCCGCCGCCGCCGCTGCCGCCGCAGCCACCGCTGCTGCATTCACAGTGGACGCCGTGGCTCTGCTTTTTGATTGCTGCTTCGCTGTGCTTGTATTGGTGGCAGGTGCAGCTGCTGCCGTTGCAGATACTGCAGGAGCAGCTGTTGCAGTTGCTGCTGCTGCTGTTGTGCCCGTTGCTGCCGCTGCTGCTCCTGTTGTTGTTGTTGTCGCTATGTTGGCAGCTTTGGCTGTTAGCGCCGATGTAGTGACCGTTGCACCAATCGTTGGCGGCCGCTTGGAGGCCAGAATCGGCGATGGTTCGATATGTTGCACAAAATTTGAGGGAAATACGCCAACTTTGCTGCGCAAACGTCCGCGCCACCAGCCTTCCTCGACCTAAATGAGAGCGAAATGCCACAAAAAACAAAAAAAAAAAATTGAATATTCGCTTTCAGTTTGTGTTATTGGGTTGCGTCAAAACTTATTGGCAAAGAGGTTAAATGGGGGTTGTGGGCACCAAATGTATATGGTATGTGTGTGCTTGGGTGTGTATGTGTGTTTGTGTGTGTACATACCTCCCCTAGGAATTCAATGACATCACCCACGGCCAGCGTCAGTTCGTCGTCGTTGACTTGTGTGTAACTGTAGATGACTTTACAGCGGCGATTCGATGTCGCTGATTTCTCCCTGAGAGCAAAAAAATAAATGAAAAGAAAAGAGAGACAAAGAGTGCAAAAATTATATTACACATATGCAAAGAGAGAAATTGCAAATATTAGTTTTAGTCTGAATGACATTAGCTGTGAGAGGAATTAAGAATATGTTTGTGCATATCAAATAAAAGCTTTAAGGCAACTGCTTGAAGAGTGAGATGCGTATTTGAGCTTTGGTTTAAGATGAAATGCTTTTAATTCTATTTATTCTTATTTCATATTATCAAACTTTTTTTTTCAAGCTAAAAACTCTGTTTAAAATGTGATTTATTTAAGATTAAAAGCTAGTAGAGCTTTCAATTGCTTTAAAATATGTAAGCTTTAAGCTTTTGATATACACAAAATATATAACATACAAATATTATTTTTAAATCAAAATTAAGATAATAATATAAAAAAAAACACCTTATGGAATTCATGCAAAGCTAAATATCACTTTTAAAGCAAAGCCGTCGGCTTGAATATTATTTATAAATTAATGAATTTACTTAGAAATAGTTTGTCAAAATTGTAATTAACTAAAACCGAAGTGATTAACATTTTGTCTATCTGAAAACTATTAAAGTTTTCACTCAAAAAAAAAGGTTTCTTTTTATAATTTCCTCTCGCTAATTTTCAGCCAATGTCATTTGTCTGTTGTCTGCTATGCAGATTGCGTCACCAACCTGAGCTGCACCACAGCACTGTCATCGCTGTGGTTGCCATTGCTGCTTGGCTCCAGTACGCGCACAAAATTATCCGGAAACATGCCCGTTACGCCGGTGGCCTTCAGTGTGCCCTGCCACCAGCCGCCGGGCATCTGTTTGATGCGATGTATGATGGCACCCTTGTGTAGATCCAGTTCATCTGGTTCCTTGGCGGCGTACTCGTACTCGACAACAGCGCAGATTGCTGGTGAGAGTGGCAGAGAGAGAAAGAGAGATATGTTCGGTTAGTAAGCCAATGGGGTAACCTTATATGGGACACGCGCATTTATAATGGCAATGTCCAAGTGCAAATATATACTATTGCGCAATCCTCTAGTCTATTTCCCACGTGCCCGCTCCCGCTCCCGCTCCCGCACTCGCCCTGTTTGCTAATGTGTCTGCCGTCTATCGGTTTGCTACGTGACACTCGCATTTTTGTTGATTTTTTGTTTATTTTTTAAATGCCTAAAAAAGTAAAAGTTACATGACGCGCTCTTTGTCTCCATGTTTGGAGCTACGCACGGAACGGGAATGATAATACATAATAATAAACAACGCGATTCGTGGGCATCAGTCAACTAGGCGTCAAAATTGGGTTACGAACGAATACTATTGGCAGTGACTGTGCCCATGTCAATTGAATTAGTTAAGCACCGAATTGTGATATCCCTTTTGATACATATTCCTTTTGCTATTGTTCATAGTTGTTATCAGCAGTGGATTTGTTGACAATTAAATTGTTGTCATAAACTTTTGCTGCATGTACACTTATTTATATAGCTAGGCATTTGCAATGATGAGTAATTGTTAATACTTATCGGCGGTATTTCCAGAGATATACAGATTGTTTTTTTCTAGCTGAGAAAATGCTTAACATTTGTTATAAGTATAATAAACATTTTGAAAATATTCTGTCTGCTTTTTTTTATATTCCATCTGATTCGGATCTGTAGACTTTAAAATTAATGTTAAGATCTTTTCTGCATCTTCAATTCTTCACCGCCTTTCAACATTTTCAACACATATAGCGCATTTGTCAGTCATCATAGCCGACGACCATTTTCAGTCTCACCGCAGACCAGAAACCCCAAAACAATATGTCATGACGCATAATGACAACAATGCCATGGGCAACAATTCATACAGATATATATATATATATATATATTTAGTACGTTACGATATAACATAACAATAACACACAAATAACAATATCAAGAGCAATACCGGTACCATAATCACTTATAAGCGACACTTGGCCCGCTTGCCTTCGGATCAATTTAAATAGCAACAACAACAAATCCAAACTTATTTTTTATTGGAGGTTGCTGCCCCCACGCGATTGACTCACTTTTTTTCATAACTTTTTATGACTGTGTTTTTATATAGAGTCTGTGCATGTTTGAGACGCAAAAAGAAACAAAAATGGACATATTTATTAGCTTCGTGTCGCGACAGCGGGTGAGGGAAAGGACTAGAGCACACGTTAGTTAAGCTAAGTGCATTAGAACATTGATAAACAACTGGAAATGAATGAAATAACAGGAAAGCTAAAATTAAACTAGAGATTGTGCCAACGGAATACCCTATAAATAAGAAGTTAGGTGAATATTGCTGCTTGATGAATGTATACTTCGAAACCTGGTCGGACATGTCTCCTTTATCTCGATCATGTATCGATGTACCTGAAAATTTTATGAATTTAGTTGCATTATTAACATTAACTAAGCACTGTGGTGGTTATATTTCTTCCTCTGCCTCTAGCGCAGCTCAGTCCTCGCCCCTCATTCAGTTGGATGCAGCACTCGATTCGTGCGAAACGAGCCACCCTTCTGTCTGCACAGAACTAAGAACTTAGGGTATCCGAGCAAATAAATTCCTATAATACGTGATGTTGTTGCAAGCACTTTATATGGGTCAAAAGTGTTGGGGACGATCATAAGGCTAATAAATGACGTGTGCGACAATGTCGAGGATGTGAAGTGGATTGGGGAACTGAAATCGACGTCTGTTTAGAGCCTTCGAGTGTAAGCCATTTAGCAATGTGTAATAACTGATGCAGACCGACTCTAATGGCATCGATAATGAACAATTAAGACGAATCGTTAAGAGACATGTGCGAATCGAAATGCTTTTAATTTGACGAGAAGCGAACAGCAGTCAGCAGCGGACAGGGCGAGGGGAGTGGACCACCAACGTTGAAGTAGCTGTCAAATCCAATCCAAAGCGGCTTTGTGTGGCGCACATAATAATTTCACTTTATTTGCAGAAGACGACAGCATTAGAAGTTGCCCAAGACTGTCGAGAGAGAGAGAGAGAGAGAGAGAGAGAGAGAGAGAGAGAGAGAGAGAGAGAGAGAGAGAGAGGGAAAAGAGAGGGCAAACGAGCCAAAGACTGGTAGAGAGAAGTGGCAAAAGTGCTGCCAAGCAACGTTCAAGTCGCCGCCGATTTGTAACTGGGCCAACACGGCCGTATTTCAGTTACAGTTTAACCCCACGCGACAGAGCCAAGAGCCAAGAGGCAAAGCGTCAGCCAAATGAACCTTTAATGTGCTTATTTGTTGTTGTCTTTTGATACCCTGTATAATGACTGGGCAAGTGCATAGCAAAAATTTGCCAATGTTTGGCAACTAGCTATATTCTTGAGGTGCACGAAAAGCTTACTCCCTTGCCTGGCTCTCAGTTCTAATTAGACTTAATGTTCAGCAAAATTCTTCAAATTTTAGTCAGTTGCTTAAAAACATTAATAGATTAATACTACACTATATATGGCAAAAAGTAAATCTTGAATTTAATTGTGTTTTTCGATTAAGAATTAATGCTGAAATCGAAGCTAGACACTTCTATATTTACAAATAGTGTTTTTACTTATATTTAGATTTGTTTGCTTTTGCAAGAATTGGTCAAATGAACCAAATTTAAGTAAATAGACTTGGCTGTGTACACTTTAGAACTGTGTACAGGGCATTGTCTAGTCGTGCACTTGCATTTCTCATTTATTGTTATTTTTTGAACGTTTTTCTTTCCTTTCTTTTGGCCAAACACATCGCATCTGAATGTGCGCTTTAATATACAGCGACCGCAAAGCTCAAGCCAGCTAACAACTACAAATACAATTGCACTACACACACAGGCACACACACATGCACACGTATAGTGTAGAATGGGAAGCATGCAGCGACGACCGACTGACTGCCAGCAAAAGGCAAAGCGTTCGTTGTGAAATGAGGCGCGCCAGCTAAATGCTGAGAAATGGTGAAAAGTTGCAGCATTAAGTGGTGAAAACTACCACCACGAACAGCTACAACAACTACAACTACAACTACAACAACAACAACAACAACAGGGGCAACGGCAACCGCTGAAAAATGAGGCGACGACCGTGGTGCGCGGTGTCGTGTGAAAAATTCGTCAAGTTCCGGACTGGAAAATCGTGCAAATGTGTCAAAATTGAAGAAAACGACAAGCTTGCTTGTATTCTTGCACTCTTGACCGCCAGGGGGCGTTTGTGTGCGGTGGTGGGCGTTTCCTAATGCCTGAGCTGTGCCTAAAAAGCTGATCCAATGTCAAAGTCGCACAAACTCAATTTGCCATAAAAATATGTAAATTACATATGAAAACTAAATCCAAGTGCCTTGAAAACGGGTCGGAAAAGTTAGCACGACTTGGTTGTACTCTATTAAAATCGGATAGATAGGAAAAGGTGTAGAAAAGAATGAAGCTGATACGTAACAAAAAATTGAACTTTAGAGATCTTTAAAATATATACATAAGTATATAATTATTATTATAGCCCGAACCCATTGACATTATAAGGTATATACGGGAATAATGCATTTGTAACAGCGAGAAGGAAGCATCTCCCGCATAAAGTATACATATTCTTGGATGGCATCAATAGCCGAATCGATCTAGACATGTCCGTCTGTCCGTCCGTCTGTCTGTACGTCGGACCGTATGTAAGAGTGCGTCGATCTCAGAACCTATAAGAGCTAGAGACTTGAAATTTTGAATGTAGGTCCTCTTAGTGCTCGCGCAATACGAGTTAGTTTCAGATAATCGAGAACTTTCCCCTTTTTAAAACAATCGATAAGAATTGATATCGAAATCTCGTTTTTTGAGCCAATATCTTTGGTTTCTTGACATGTTCCTGAGCATGAGCTGCATTTGGTATTGGTAAAGGAAGGTTCAGGGTATCCCCTAGTCGGACATACTGACTAGAGCACTCCAACTTGCTTGTGCTTAACAATTAACCTAACCTAAATAAGCCTAAAATGACTTTCCTGAGATTTAAGACCATCTAATAACACGCACATTGAAAGTTTTAAGTGAAGTTTCTTTTGCTTGATTTGTGGGGTAAAGGCATATATCTTCCAGCCCAAAAACAATCTTAAAGATTTGTGAGTAGCCAGATTTTGCAAGCAGATGATTAATAGGTTTCTCAACCTTTGCATTCTTCAGCTATGATAGCTGCGTCTTACTATCAATCTTTCCTTTTCCTCAGCTTTGCTCAATGAGCTCTTCTATTGAAACGTTGGCTACAGTTCCGCTAAATTAACACACTCTTAGCCAGCTTATAGACGGATTTTTTTGGATCGTTAATAAAGCTACGCATAGAAATGAATCAATTTGCGGAACACATAAAAACGCAGCCGGTTGCAACAAGCGGATATTACGAGGGGGCTGCGGGGCTAACCGGTTCTTGTGGCTCTTGGCAAGGTGCGGTCCGGTCGGCAGCACCTTTCCAAGCAAACACCTCGCGTAGGTGTGTGTGTGTGTGTCTGAAGATAATCCGCCCCCCCCCCCCCCCCCAGTCCCTCGTCTGCACTTGAAGAATCACATGCTAATTGGCTTAACAATCAGTTTTTTGGCTGGCTTTGAATTTGGTTTTTTTTTTTTTTGGGCCATGAACCGTAAATGTTAAATTGCGTTTGCGTGCGTTTTTAACACACTTAAAAGAAACCAAAAAAAACTACAGGTACAGGGGCTGCGGAGGCGTGGCTGGCAGCCATAAATCTATATACATACAACATACTTCTGAGAAGGGGGTGGAATCTGGCCAAGGCTTGGTTTATATGTCTACACTTAAGAGTTACATGCTTGAAAATTGTTTTCACAACCAGGTCGGGGGGTGTCCCATAAAAAAAATGAGTTAGGAATAAAAAATGAAATTAAGTTCAAGCAGGCTGAAACGGGCATTGCTTAA